CCGGCCCAACCTCACGGGATCAAAATAACGTGGCCCAATAAAAGAGAAAGTGCTGGCCGGAGAGTGCAGGAGGCGAGTGCCCCTAGCATTGCTCAAATTTTTTTTTAAAATATTTATTTTATTTTGTTTTAAGTTATATAATGAGAATAAATTTTGGAGTTTTTTTTAACACATTTCTTTATTTTTAAGAATTTAGCTCAATTTTTTTTTTTTTGGAGTTGAGAGACCCTCTAAAATTTGTCATTATTCTCTTTTATAGAAAAAATTAACTCTAATAGCTTAGATAGTTATTTTGGTATAACAACAAAGTAATTTAAGGACTTGCTTAGTTCCAAAGATATGATATTCTTATGTTAAAAAAGAATTAACATATATTCGGATCATGTTTCCACCTGCCATCCTTCCACAGAGCCCCTTAATACAATTTCTTGATTTACTTTTGTCTTTGCATATTTGCAAAAGAATTTAGCATTTTGCATCCCCAAGTTGTACCTAATTAGCTCTTGATTTTTTCTACAATCCTAACCTTCAAACAAATTTAACCAATCAAATTGAACTGAACCTATTTAATAGCGTTGACTTAAGAGATTAAAGAATTATTTAGAAATATATTAAAAAGGATTATTTTTTAACTTATGACCTAACATATTAAGAATATAATTGATATATTTTTTAGTCTTTTTTTTTTTTTTTAAACAGTGTGAAATCTTTTTTCTTGAGGGAAGGGGGAATGGGGGGATTTGGAATTGATCCTAAGTCCTTGTAGTCCTACGCACGTCCCTTGCAAGGGGTGGTCATTTGGCCACCGAGTACGGGACATATATTTTTTAGTCATTAAATTATATAAAAAATAGAAAAGTGAATATTAATTTTAATATTAATGTTATGCATTTAACTGATTAATTTATTAAAATTAAAGTTAAATTTTATTTTTATGTAATTTAATAATTAAAAAATACATTAAATATGTATTCAACATGTATCTTAATAATGCAAGTTAAAAAAGCTGTATTGAAAAATAAACACACTACTTTTATAGTTAAAGCGTTACCAAGCACTTACGGAAAGGCAATTTATATATACTCTGTACCTTTAAGAGGAATAATCGGGTTAAAAATTTAGACCTCCATATTAAGAAAAAAATAAAAATCGAATTGATCCAAACACCAATCCTTACTTAAAAAAAAAAAAGAAAAAGAAAAAGAAAAAGACTTCTTCTAATTTTCACATCTAAGGTCGAAAAGCTCTTTTGTAAAGGATGACCAAACGTATAGGAGTAGCAAAAATAAAATAAAATAAAATAAAATAAAGGAATTTAACAAGCTTTTTCTTACTTGAAGAATGGTAATCGGTTAGAATGATGGTTTGCTTTTTATTTTATTAATTAATTAAAATTTAATTTTAAGAACTTATTGAGGAGATGTTTTTTATGAAATTTTTAATTTTAATATAATTAATTATTTTTAATTAAATTA